TTTTTTTTTTTTTTTTTTTTTTTTTTGCAGGTTGAAAATCTTACCCGTAAAGCTCAACTTCAAGAAATTGAGTTGGAAAAAACGACCAAACAATTGAAGGAAGCACTGTCATTTGCTGCAGGAGAAGCGACAAAGTGCAATGCAGCAAAGGAAGTAATCAAGTCGCTTACTGCCCAAGTAAGTTTTACTCTTGTATGTGATGGTCTGCTGATTTGTGGCGTTATATATGTATGTCTGTTATTGTTTCTGTTTCTCACCTGCAAATAGAACATCTTGCATTGCCATTTACATGAGCTCCATTGCATAAGTGTGTATCGTGAGGGCCTTCATATAACAATTACAAATAGTAAATCACGAATCATGAATATCAAGTTGTCCCTTTTTTAATTGATCATCGGAATAGTTCCTTGGCTTCAATCTCTTCATTTAGTCTACTAAGAATACAACGTCCTCTTCATGTCCACATAATCTAAAACTACGGACTGTTGTCTTGCTTTATCACTGGGTGGTGAAGAATTCTGAGTGATATTAGTTGCTTTGGATGGAGGTGACCGTAAGATAACGTGATTTGAACCCACAGCCACTTGCACGGATTTCAAATTTCACTGATGAATTGAGATACTTTTACCACTATGTTTTATTTACAAAGGTCTAGAAATATAAATTTCAAATGTTTTTGGCTGACATTGTGATGGTAGCTTGAGTAGCTACTAGTCCTGATTTAGATCCAAGTTACTGGATATCGTCTTACCTTTGGTTAGCACTCCTTTCAGTTGGCAAATTTTCAACCTCTCTCAGTAGAAAGATTAACGATACTGATTTATTTTTACTATTATCTTTTTTACTTAAAAGTTGCAAATTTCCTTTTCCTGTTTTTCGACAGTTAAAGGAAATGGCAGAAAGACTTCCAGTTGGAGCAGCTCGCAACATCAAATCACCTTCTCTGGCCTCCTTGGGCTCCAGTCCTCCCCTCAGTGATGTGGTTACTCCATCAATTGACAGATCTAATGGCCAAACAATGTCTCTAGAAGCCGACATCATAGAATCAAACAGTAACTTGCTGTCTAATGGGTCTACCACTGCAAGTAATCGTAGTTCAGGCCATAACAGACAAAGCAATTCTGATTCAACAACTAGAAATGGTAACAAGGTTAAAGAGAGTGATTCTCGTCATGATGCTGAATGGGTTGAGCAAGATGAGCCTGGTGTATATATCACGTTTACCTCTCTTCAGGGCGGTGCCAAAGATCTCAAGCGAGTGCGTTTCAGGTATAATTCTTCAGCCTCGCTGACTTGATCCTTCGTAAAAGAGTTGATTTGAAGCTAGTAGTTTACATAACTTTGTTATCAGACTATCAAATAGAAGGCAAGGCACACGCCTATGCTTCCATCTTTATTCTTTTGTATTGCTTGAGAGCAGATTTGCTCATTGCGTGTTTGGGGCAATCTAACCATCTAAGTATAGGCTATTATAATAAAATCAACCACCGTCGCCATAATTCATTCATATGAAATCTTATGCATGGCCTTAAAGAGGAAAAGTCAACGAAATTCATTGGCTATCGCTGGTAACCATCAACTTTAAACTTCAAAGTTTCCCGTCATTATTAATGAGCAGAAGTTTGCGAGACAAGAACAGTAAGGATCAAACATTTATTCTTGTTGTTTAATGTTGAATTTTGTGAAGTATGCTGTGTGGAGATGATGAATCATGTGGTAGCTCATCTGTCTAATCTCACAGTACTAATAGCATCATTTGTGTAAATCATATGGTCTACCATATTTAGATGCAGAATTTATAACACATCACTGTTATTTTTTCTCTTTTTTTGTTGCAGTCGGAAACGATTTACCGAGAAGCAAGCCGAACAGTGGTGGGCGGAGAATCGAGCAAGAGTATATGATCAATATAACGTGCGTATGATCGATAAGTCCAGTGTGGGCGTCGGGAGCGAGGACTTGGCTCACTGACGTGGAAAAGGGTCAGTCTAATCCAATTTGATTGTAAATGAACAGGATGTTTACAGTCTCACAGCTTATATTACTGGTAAGTGATGATATGATCATTTTGTATGGTTTTATCCACCCCTTGGGATAGAAAAGAAACGGCCATATATAGTATTGAGTTAGAGGGATAACTAAGAGGGGTTTGTGTTTTAAATTGTTCCCCTGTTTTTCACCTTCATTTTCTTGTTTGTTTCTTTTCCCTTTTCTCTCTTTTTGGGGGGTCCCTCAATTTTCCCCCTATATATGTGTTTATCTGGGGCATTGAGTGTGAGAAATGTAAATTTTTAGTAACTCTGCTGGCTGTACTTCACATCAGCTGTGCAATGTAAATCCGATAAAGTCAATGCGTTTGCATATTTTTGTACTTATAACCCTTCCAAGCTTAGTTTATGATTCCATTTTTTTCTTCTACCTAAGGAACAAATGTAACTGTATGCTGTCGGTTTTAACTACTTTTGCTCTCCTTGATTTGGTGCATTTGGCGTTACCGATGCGCGAGTCCCTCGAACATGTCGCTCGTGTATCAAGAAATAAAATTTGACGACTTACCTTCATTTTGTGTTTGCTCTCCTTGATTTAATGATATTAATTTCTTTCAGAAACTAAGCAACCTGTCATTGTCGAACTGCCGACAAGATGCATCAATTGGCAAAAGCAGCTCATTCTTGTTCCAATCTAAACTAATAGCTCATCATTGTTTATTGGAAAATAAATTAATTAAATCTTTTATATGATGTAAATGAGATTGTTTATTGATAAAACTATTCTAGTAAATAATGTAATAAATAAATATTATATATATATATATACTTTTTTAAATTTTCAATTCATTTTCCCTCGTATCTCTTCCCCACTTCACAAGTCTGCATGGGTTCTCGCATCCCAAACTCTCTCCCTGTATGGATTATATGACACTATTATCTGCCTTGAGAACTTGCGCTAGCTCCAAATTGCTGAAACAAGGCAAGCTCATCCACCAGAGGATATTTTGTTCAGGCTTTCAATCCAACGTCACCCTCTGCAAAGCCCTCATCGGCTTTTACTTCTCTTGCTATGATTACAGATCAGCGGAGCTTGTTTTTCAGACCAACGATTGCCCATTGGATGTTTCTTTGTGGAATGCTCTTCTTTCTGCTTACACCAAGAGTTCCAGGTTCGTTGAAGCTCTGCAACTTTTTGATCAATTGAAAAGTCATTCTCATGTAAGACCTGATTGTTACACTTACCCTGTTGTTCTTAAGGCGTGTGGTGGATTGGGTAGAGTTGTTTATGGGAGAAGGATCCATAATCATTTGATAAAAACGGGGTTGATTTGGGATGTTTTTGTGGGGAGTTCTATGATGAATATGTATGCGAAATGCGATCAGTTTCATGATGCCGTTGACCTGTTCGACGAAATTCCTCAGAGAGATGTGGGGTGTTGGAACGCTGTTATCTCTTGTTATTTTCAAGATGATAAGCCTGAGGCTGCCCTGAAGATGTTTGATAAAATGAAAGAGTTGGGTTTTGAGCCTAATTCAGTGACTTTTACCGTCGTTGTCTCATCATGTGCAAGGCTTTTGAATTTGGAGAGAGGTAAGGAGATTCATAGGGAGTTGATCGATAGGAGCGTTTTGTTGGATGCTTTTGTTCTTTCTGCGCTCGTAGACATGTATGGAAAATGTGGTTGTTTAGAAATGGCCAAAGAAGTTTTTGAGCAAATCCCAAGGAAGAATGCGATGACTTGGAATTCTATGATCACAGGGTATAGCTTAAAAGGTGATAGCAGATCCTGCATTGAACTTCTCATGAGGATGAACTACGAGGGAACCGAACCGACTTTGACGACTTTGACCAGCATAATATATGCTAGCTCAAGGTCTGTTCAACTTCGGCACGGAAAATTTATACATGGATATATTTTGAGAAATAGAATAGATGTTGATATCTTCATTGACGTTTCTCTCATTGATTTATATTTTAAATGTGGATCGGTTTCTTCGGCCGAAACTGTCTTCAGAAATGTATCCAAGAATGATGTAGTTTCTTGGAATGTTATGATTTCTGGATATGTGATGGTGGGTAATCACATTCAGGCTCTTCGTGTCTATGATAACATGAAAGAACATCATGTAAAACCAGATGCAGTAACATTTTCTAGCACCTTATCAGCTTGTTCACAGCTAGCAGCCTTGGATAAGGGTAGGGAGCTTCACCACTGCATCATCAGTCACAAGTTGGAAAGCAATGAAATCGTTATGGGGGCTCTTCTTGATATGTATGCTAAATGTGGTGATGTCAACGAAGCACGGAAACTATTTCATCAATTACCAGAGCGAGATCTTGTGTCGTGGACATCGATGATCACTGCTTATGGATCTCATGGCCAGGCTTCTGAAGCTTTGAGGCTTTTTGATGAAATGAAGAAGTCGAATGTACGAGCCGATTCAGTTACGTTCCTGGCAGTTCTATCTGCTTGTAGTCATGCTGGATTGGTTGATGAAGGTTATATATATTTCAACGAAATGATCACTCAGTATGACATTAGGCCCGGCATTGAACACTATTCATGCTTGATAGATCTACTTGGACGTGCTGGAAGACTACATGAAGCTTATGAGATTCTCGAAAGATCAGAAGAGACTAGGAACGATACCGGATTGTTAAGCACACTGTTTTCTGCGTGTCGATTGCATAATGATTTTGGTTTAGGCATACAAATAGGGAAATTGCTTATGGAGGTACATCCTGATGACCCATCTACTTACATTTTGCTGTCGAATATGTATGCTTCTGTCAATAAATGGGAGGAGGTACGTAACGTACGACGAAAAATGAAAGAACTTGGATTGAAGAAGAGGCCTGGTTGCAGCTGGATTGAGATAAACCAGAGGATTCAGCCATTCTTTGTTGAAGATAAGTCAAACCCTGTAGTTGATGGGGTCTATGAATGTCTAAGCACTCTAGGCTGTCATATGGAGAAGAATGAACTTGAGGTGTAGCAGATTAGCAAAAAACTGGTACACCGATGATCCCTGCTTCCATACATGCCAAAACAGCAATCAAACTCCACCTACAAGTCAGAATTCTGAAAAAGCTTAACGTGAGTGTGGAGCCTCAAGAGTTGCGGTTTATTGTGCTTGATCAATTGATGTGATGTATATATGGATTTTTAACTTTGATATCCAAATGCATGAATTATTGATTTCATATTATCTTGTTTTGTGCTAATTTCTGTTGGGGAAGGGGAAAATCAATAAAGAAATTTGATTGTGCAGAAAGGTCATTTGGCTTCAGAAAGTACAAAAAGGGTAAAAAATTGCTTTTTATTAAGTTTGAATTAGTTTCAGAACACGCATGAACATAGAATCCGTTGTCGTCAAGCGGTTAGGATATTTGGCTTTCACCCAGGAGACCCGGGTTCGATTCCCGGCAACGGAAGTTTTTAGTCTTATTTATTTAAGATTATTATAATTCTTAATTAAAAGCTCATTTCGTAATTTAAAATCCGTTGTCGTTCAGCGGTTAGGATATCTGGCTTTCACCCAGGAGACCCGGGTTCGATTCCCGGCAACGGAAGTTCTTAGTCTTATTTATTTAAGATTATTATAATTGTTAATTAAAAGCTCATTTCGTAATTTAAAATCCGTTGTCGTCCAGCAGTTAGGATATCTGGCTTTCACCTAGGAGACCCGGGTTCGATTCCAGGCAACGGAAGTTCTTAGTCTTATTTATTTAAGGTTATTATAATTGTTAATTAAAAGCTCATTTCGTAATTTAAAATCCGTTGTCGTCCAGCGGTTAGGATATCTGGCTTTCACCCAGGAAGCCCGGGTTCGATTCCCGGCAACGGAAGTTTTTAGTCTTATTTATTTAAGGTTATTATAATTGTTAATTAAAAGCTCATTTTGTAATTTAAAATCCGTTGTCGTCCAGCGGTTAGGATATCTGGCTTTCACCCAGGAGACCCGGGTTCGATTCCCGGCAACGGAAGTTTTTAGTCTTATTTATTTAAGGTTATTATAATTGTTAATTGAAAGCTCATTTCGTAATTTAAAATCCGTTGTCGTCCAGCGGTTAGAATATCTGACTTTCACCTAGGAGACCCGGGCCCGATTCGGGCAACGGAATTTTTTAGTTTTATTTATTTAAGGTTAGTATTAACATTTGTAATAAAGCTCATTTAGAAAACGTAAAATTTGTTGTCGTCCAGCGGTTAGGATATCTAGTTTTCACCCATGAGGCTCGGGTTCGATTTCCGGCAACAGAATTTTAGTTTTATTTTTATTCTTCAAACAGTCGTCTCGTGTTTGTTTTCGGGCCAGGCCCATGCTCGTGGTTTCAACTGGGCTGAGGCGCAGGCTGATGAAAGCCCAGATTCTTGTACCCGAACAGCCATTCTGTGAGATCAGAGAATTCAACTCTCGAAAAGAATCGTGTTGAAAAGATTGTTGAGATACAATTCGAAGCTTAATTGCTTGAGGAACAAATTTTCTCCGTCTCTTGTTCGAGGAGAATAATATTAAGGTCTCTGAGAATGGCGAGAGATAGCTGCTTGGCTCGAGTTACTGCGGGAGTTGCCGTTGGTGGTGCTGTAGGTGGAGCCGTCGGTAAGGAAACCCTAAATTTTCTTCATAGTTCTAATGCCTGTTGTCTTCTTATATATCATTGATATTCCCGTTTTTCTTTCGTCTCTCGACTTCCGAATTTCGGTTATGATTTGATCGTTGTTCCGCTTTCTCAGCGACTGATATTTGGTCAAGTGGTATAGGATTTGTTGGATTAAAGAGTTTGCATACGCAGGAAGCTAAATATTTGGTCAAGTTGCGCCCTTGCATCTGTGATTGAACCATGTTTATCAGTGTTAATGTACTACTAAGAAATATACCGCTGTGAAGCCTTGGATATATTTAATTCTTCCATCTTATCTTTCATATTAAAGCTACGTTTCCTTCGGATTTTATAAAATAAGGCTTTATTTGTTGGATAATATCACTTGCTGGTGGACATAGTTTTTGTTGTGTAGAAAGAGTTCTTAGCTTTTTAGGGCCCATCGTAATGAATATTTTGATTGAACTGCTGTAGATTTAACCAGTCAAGTATGGAGTCAACTAATCTTATCTTTGGGGTCTGTTGTACTCCATTGGCCTATTTTGTGTATACCTCATAAAGTTCACCGGAACTTGTGTGCTGACTTCCTGAAGCTCAAAGTTTAACCTTATTTAACAAGTAGCAGTGTACTTGTCAAGAAGCTCCTTATTTTGCTTTCTTCCATTTCAATAGAGTGTCGAGCATTATGAACTGGTCAGTGCCACAACTTTGAAGATATACATCAGTTACGAAATCTCTGTAAACAACAATTCGGGCTATCGTTTCTTGTTTTTTAATATTTAGATTGGACGGCCTTTCTTGTTTAGAGTATCTTACAATCAATGCTGCAATATATTTGTTTCATCAGAATTATGATATGCTTTGGCTAAGGATTCTAGAACTAACTTTTTTTTAAAATTTTTTTTTCTCTAGGTGCTGTTTATGGGACTTATGAGGCCATTAGGTTTAAGGTATACTATCTTCTCCGATCCAAATCTTCAAAAAATATGACTTGAAATTCGACCTCGTGTCTCTGCTGTTTTATGATTTTAGTAAGTTACTCATCAAATTATCGCAAATAGTTAATCCTTTTCCATCTGTTTTTGTTTACAATTAATTAACGTCTTATCTAAACATCTTGAAACTAATATGAGATTCCATCTCATCATCATTAGAAATTCTATGAACATGGGAGACTACCCAAAGTTATGTTTCATTAGCTTGGGATCAAAATTTGCAGTCAATCTACTTTAAATTTACTACACATTTAGCCCTTTTAAACACAAATTTCATGATTTCTTCCATGATTGGTAATTCTTCCATGATTGGTAATTCTTCCTGAGTTTCTATATTTCTTTCTGCAAATGTCTATGCCTTGAACCATTTTGCTCATTTTCTTCATTCTTACTATTCAAGTTTCTGTCATTGAAACCCGAAGATTACAACGTCCTAGTTACCATTTACTTATTTCAACTCCAGGTGATGATAGATGGTAATTAACTGTGGACCAAACTTGCATTTGTTGGTGCAGGTGCCAGGGCTTCTGAAGATCAGGTATATTGGACAAACAACACTTGGAAGTGCTGCCATATTTGGGCTTTTCTTGGGGGCAGGGAGTTTGATACATTGTGGAAAGTCATACTGAATCACAAGTTCCTGAATTTGGATGAGATAATATTGTTTGCTTTTAGTTTCCTTGCTTTTCAACATGAAGTTATTGCGGACGGTCATTTGTTTAGTTAAAAGGTTCCGTTTGTTTTAGTTTAAGGAACAAAATGGTCAATTGATGATGCCTTCAGCCCTACTTGGATGTGAAGTTTTCAAGTTTTGTTTGCCTCATGATTTGTCAATTTAATAAAATATTGTTGTCGACCATCATTTTTTTAAATAAAAAAGTTTATAAAAGCTCTTTGAATTAATAATTAAGCTGTCTTTACTTTTAAACGAAATTAATATATAGATTAGTTAAAACAATTTAGAGTAGTGAATTTTAATTAAAACTCCAAACCAATAATTGAATTAAGAGTTAATTTAGAGTTCACTTAATTACATTTAAAATCATATCAAAATCACCTCAATATTAATATTCTTCTCCAAAGAATTTCATCAAATCAAGTCAAAGTATTAGTAAGAAAAAATAAAGGACTAATTATTTTTAAATAAATAAGAAAAAAAAATGTATTAATTTATCTCAAAAGAAGGTTAGTTTTATAACCTAAAGCGCGGAAATGAAGCCGGGAAAGAGATTATGCGGAGTGTGGCTGGAAAAGAATAGGTATAAAAATAAACGACTCCACTGGGGATCGAACCCAGAATCTCTGGTTTCGTAGACCAGCGCCTTATCCATTGGGCCATGGAGTCGCTTTTGAGAAATCATGCTTAAATATTAATTACAACTTTATTGTGTTATGCAACTCGGAATTCCAGATGAAAGAGTTTGTAATAGGATTTGTGAACTTTCTGAATACATAGGCATTCTCATCAGAATGCCTGAAGGAGTGAAAGTAGACATCAAATATTACAATAACACAACAGTTCTTTCTTTCTTTACACAGTAGATGAAATCAAATGCATGAGAACGGACCACGGTCTCGACCGAAATCAGATCCGAGAAGGAATGAGTGGAATGTTGTTCTGTAAATATGCAGAAGCTGCTGCTACCCCACTTCCAAGCTTCACTGGATATCCCACATCCTTCAGAATCATCTCCACACCAGCAAGACAACCCAACAGTTGCAGCTGAAAAAAACAGGACCGAGCGACCGACGTATTAGCACATAGTATATGAAACAGTATATACATAGGAGAGCATTAAAGAGGAAGTTCACCTCATTGAGGTTGCCAAGGTGCCCAATTCTGAAAACTTTGCCAGCAACTTTGTTCAGCCCCAAACCTAAACTCAAATTGTATCTTTTCCAAGCCCTTCTAACAATCTCTGAACTGTCAATGTATGGAGGCACAAGCACAGCAGTCACTGTGTCACTGAACCATTCCTCCTTCTGTGTGCAGTTCTTCAGGCCCCATGCCTCCACAGCAAGCCTATATGCATTTGGGACCAACTTTTAGAAACTGAAAATTTCAAACATAAGATCTTATAAACGAAACATATGCAGAAATCGACCTCGTGGCTTGGCCCAAACGTCGATGTCTGGCAATCACATTTTCAAGGCCTTCCTCAAATATGAGATCCAAAGCTGCTCTAAGGCCATATAAGAGCTGGATGGAAGGAGTGTAAGGCCAGTAGGTTCCTAAGTTATAGAACTTGAGGTAGTCCTTCCAGTCAAAGAAAACTCTGAGTGATTTTGCTGTTTTAGACGCCTCGAGCGCTCGTGGGCTGGCGCATACAATGCCCATCCCAGTTGGAAGAGAAAGAGCTTTTTGTGACCCAGTTAAGGCCACATCTACTCCCCAGTCATCCATACGAAAATCAAGAGCACATATCGAAGACACTCCGTCTACCAGAAATAGCGCTGGATGCCTATATTCATCTGAGAATTTGATATCATATCAATGTTAAGACTCTTGATGAGCTAAAATTTCAACTCCAAATACATTGAGATATCAAAAGAAATATGATCCTGTGAGATGCTTACCCAATATTCTTCTTACTAGAGACAAATCGTTAGTCACACCAGTAGCTGTCTCATTA